GCCCCGTCTAGGTGGGACGGCACTCAGAGCATCAGAGCGATGGAGCTGACATAGTCACGATTCACCTCCTTTCCCAGCCTTCCCTGGGAGCCCCCAGGCTCCCTGCACAAACCAGGTAGGAGGGGAGGCAGGGCCGGCTCTGTGCTGGGGCACGCCGCCCACTTCTCTGGGTCTCGGTTTCACTGGCCGTACAATGGGCACATTCTCCTAATCGGCCTAAGGTCTGTTTCAGCTCTAAGAGACCCTTAATCGGTCCCCTCTGTGGGAGTAGGAGAAAGCCAAGAAACAGGAAGTTAACTCTCGAGGCATCACTGATCTAAAAGTATTTAAAGATGCCTACGGGGTGGTGATGAGGAAAAGAGGCCAAGTAATGCATATTTTTTCCACAGGCTGCAAAAGACCCATACACGGCGTAGCTTCCTGCTCCATGAAATAACGATACTCACCTTATAGGAAGCCCACGGGGCATGTTTTATTATTGTTCCGACGTGCCAGCCTCTCTGGCCTGGTCACTGGTCTAACCACGGTGTGGATTGAAGACGGCCCTCACTGCGGACGTGGGCGGCGGCGAAGCAGCCAAGACAAAGGCTGAGGGCATTTGCGTCGCCTTGGGAAGCGTGTGGGGCTGCAAGGTAGGGAGTTCTAGGCCCAACTCAGCCCTCCCAGACTGCGAGACTGGAGCGAGGCACTTCCTGTTCTGGGCCCCAGTGTCTTCATCTGTAAATGTGGACACGGGAGGGCCCAGGTAGACCATTGCCATGGCCTTTCGATGTCTCGTTTAAAAATGTTTTGAAGGGATGAACTTGGCATTCCAGGCCCAGGATGCACTGGCACAATATAATTAGTAACAGTAATATATACTAGTAATAGTAATATATAATAGTATATTTAGTAATAGTATATTATATTTACTAATAATATAATAAAATATACTAAATATACTAAATAGTATATTTACTAATAGTATAATTAGTAATAGTAATATATATAGTAATATATTACTATATATTATATATTATAGTAATTACTATATATAGTAATATATATAGTAATATATAAATATTTTATACATTTCTGTACCTCCAATAAATAGCCCCTTCTGCCCTGAGCCCCACCACCCTGACCACCCCGTGACCTGGCCATCGGAGTTAAGGCCTGGCACAGCGGGGACCGTCCAGGGCCCTGCTGCAGCAGGGGAGCCGACTGTCAGGGCCCAGGCCACACGGAACACTTCACAGGTCACACCTGCTGTCCTAAGGCAGCGGGCTGCAGTAGCAGCAAAAATAAACCTCCAGTGTATGCTCAGCACCCTTTTAAAACCTCTGTGATTCCAAGAGAAGATGAGCTCACATCCTAACGCAGCCCCCTCCCCAAGACAAGATGTTGATCAACGAGATAGCATTTGATAAAAGTAGAGAGGAGCCTGAGACGAGGCATGCCCAGTTTCCCAGTTCGCTTCGGTAAGAGCCGGTTTGTACTTTCGTCTCCTGTAAAGAGGTGTCCAGTGGGATTCCTACACATACCAACGTGGAGCGATCTCCAACCCACGACAAGTAAATAAACCAAGATGCATGTTCCTCGGAGGATAAACATGTATACATCAAAGCACACACAACGCAGTGCATTTTGCAAGCACACACATACAGATGCCTGTGTGCATGTCTACATATGACTATACATGGACGTATGTGCATATACATGTAGGCAGAAGTACAACAGTGAACTGCTTCCCAGCTGCGACCACTCGTTTGCCACGTGGAAGAGGCAGTTGCTAATTTGGCAGTCTGGGAGGTATATGAGTTTGCCTGGGAGGAAGCCGTGAGGGGAGAGACAGCAGACAGAGACACAGAGGGGCAGAGATACAGGGAGAGAGACGAACACCAGTGCTTGCGTATGCACCTGAAACCCAGGCTGACGGCTGCCCGTGGAGACGGGAGCGGGAATGGGCCCAGCGGTGACGGTTACAGCGGTTCTATAATAGGTTTATCAGCCATATTTTATCTCTTCCAAGAAGAAAGCATTAGATGCAAATATAAAACCAAACAGTAAGAGCTGCATATTCTGGGTGGAAGAAACAGGTGCTTGTTATATTAATCTTTGCATCTTTCTCAGAAGGAAGTCAAGTCCGCCTTAATAGGCCCTGCTCATCTGCACAGGGCGTGTGCAGGCCCTCAGATGCGGGGGGTGGGAATTGCTTACGGATTTCCCATCATCCCCACACTACTTCCCACCACCCAGACACCTCCGATTTCCAAATTAGCCCTACCTAGCCCATGGCTGATACACAAGCTGTGCTTTTTTTACGATTAAAGTGAGAGCCACTCATTTCTAAGTTCAACAAGCCTTCGTCAAATGCCGTGTGAGGTTTCAGGCACACTGGGCTGAGCGATCCGTGGTTTCTGCCACAAGTTGTTCCTGGTCTAGCAGGACAGACAGACGGAGCGTGAGCAGAGACACGACAGCGCACTGGGATTAGTGTACGGTAGAGGAGCTTTTACCACGTGTTGTGTGGGACAAAGGAGGGATGACTGAGTCTTAGGAGGGCAGCCCTTCCTGCAAGGGCAAAAAAAGGAGCCCATAGAGGTTCACACACAAAGAAAGAAGTGGGGGACGGCTCCCATGGAGCCTTCTTTACATGCCACCTACACACCAGTCTCAACACATTGCCGCAGCCCGGTGAGGTGGGCAGTCGCGTTCCCGTTCTGAAGTTGAGGAAACAGACACTGAGAGGGTAAGTCGCTCTGCTGAAGCCAAAGAGCAATTAAGTGGCATCATGATTCTTGGCCAGATTAAAAAATTCAAAACAGAGAGGAGGGCGGACGGGAGCAGATGAGGGTCTGTGCGAGTCAGGGTTGGGAGACTTCTGGTACCCGGGCGGTCGCCCCTTCTCCCCGGGCGAGATGCTGGCTGGCAGTAAAAGTTCAAGGGCACATGCAGCTTGAGGCATTTGCTCAGTTATCCTAAACTGAGGCCTAAACACAGCCAGACTTAATAAAGACCAGAGAGATGCATGCTTACTTCTCAATTCGGCGAGGCTTGGACACACCATCTCATCTTGCCTCTAACTCCAGCGGGACCTCTTTAAGGTGGGAGACTTTGGAATAGAGGGTATTTCACTTCCACCGACGTGGACCTGTTCTCCTGGCCCAACAGGGGCCGCCCAAAGCAGCCCGGCCTGGGAGCAGGGAGCAGGGGCCGGGAGGGGCTCCGAGGACAGCTGAGGGGAGGTGCCGCTCTGGGTGCTGCCTAATCCATCCGACACGGGGACGCGCTGTTCCAGAAACCGGATGACAATTAATAGGAAAAATCTGCTCTCGCAGTCCTGCCAAGCCTGTCGCAGGGGCTCAGCTGGTGGTGCACCTCCTCCGGAAAAGAACAATAATGCCCCATTCTTCCCTTTGGTTGAGGCCCTGATGTGTTCTCAAGTGGAAGGAGGAAGAACTAGGAGGGTTCCTCCTATGGTAGGAAAACTTTGCACAAGCAATAGTGCCAGTCCTCAAAGCCTTGAGCCCAAGGCTTATCCTGGACGACCACTGCAGCTCATTCAGTGGCCATCCCATCTTCTAGACCTATGAAGCCCTGTTTGACACGTGCTGGGTATTGACAGATAAAACATCTCCCATCAAGTGCCTCAGAGTGGTCTGGTTTTGTTTAAGTCATCTGGCCTCAGGCCAAACTTCTATCCCCTCTTTATCATTTGCCTGTGCATGTATTTCTCTTGGTCAAAATAGTTCAGATGATTCGAGAAAACCTGGCTTGCCTTGCTGTGCCTCGTTCAGGTTCATCAAGCGCAGAGAGTGCAGAGGCACGAGGCGTCTGGGGAGCCCGGCAGTCCGGCCCCAGGTTTGCTGCCCTTGTAACCCTCTCTGGGTATCTGCCCATTTATCAGTCTTCTCAATTTTTAAGGGAGTAATAGAATCTTTGGGGAGCATAATAAAAGCTGCGAACTAGTTCTGTTCCCTGTACACTCACTCACCCCCCCCTGCCATGTACAGACACTCAAACAGTTGCATATAGGTTCAGGGATCACCGTCCTTGTGCATGTCACTCATGCGCTCTTCAGTCCCTGGGCACCAAAGCCAGGACTGCCGATGCTCATGCATCACAGCCATGGGAACTCATCTTTCTAGATTCCACAGTCTCACCAGAAAACACCAACCTGAATCCCAGCTCAGCAACCTTTCATGGTCCCTCTCTGCTCACCCCCACCCAACACCAGCCATACATGGAAACCCAGCTGGGAGTGGATCTTGGAATTCAAGTTTCTGTTTGGGAACTGGTACCCGGCCTCACTTGAGCCATGTGGTCACATCCATCTCAGGGACCAGGCAGGTGGATGCTAATGCACCATGTTAACCCCTTTCACACCAGTCCCCTTACCAGAGCCTTGGCGGAGAGCCACATCCCACCACCCCACCCACCACAATGGGGTGGGACACTCTGTGTCATGGAAGCCGGCCAGCAGATTTAGAAATCATGTTGCTCTTGGCACCGGTTCTGGGACTCTGTGCAGAGTTACGTGCTGAGATGCCACTGCATGGGCAGTTTTTCAACATCGGAGTCTACCGCCCACCATCTCACCATGCGAATGGCTGCCCAACACAGCTCCAAAGACGGGTGCGGACAAGAGAAAAACCACATCCCCAAACCAGGAGTCCCTTTACCCACCAACAATGAAAAGAAACCTAAGTCCCTCTTCATCTGCACTCAGATCCAACTTCCTTCCCAAATTGTCCTCATGGCACAAGTCCATTTAAGCAATGTTTGTCAGCAAAGCAAAACCATGTGGTCCCAAGCTTGGTTCCCACAGATCCCAACACTGCCTTTGATCCATAATTGCCCAGAACAAGGGGTGCAGACAGGAGTCTCCACCAGGACCACTTAGACCCCACGATCAGAGGCCCTCTCGGACAGCAAAGGCAGACAAAAACAGCATCTTTTGATCAAAAGTAGCCACATTTCCCCCTGTGACGCCATTGAAAATGAAAATCCCACCTTACCCTTCATTCCAAATTTGGACCGGCGACCATACTTGTTGATCATGATGAACAGAACCACTAGCAGGACACAGGCGAAAGCAGCGAGCCCGACCGCGATGGACACCTGTGGGAGCCAAAGCCAGAGGTCAGGACCGGTCCCCGAAAACCCCAGTGCCCTGAAAGCAACGCGTGTGCACAGATGAGGACAGTCCGGCTGCAGTGGCGACTGCAGCCCTCTCAGAACTGTGCCACGGAGCAAGGCCTCTGGAAGAAGTAATTTGTGAGACCCCAAGCACATTATAAAATGTGTAAATTTCCCAGCCTGATTAGAGGCAGTTCCATCAGTCCCCTGATTCAGTGGTCTGAGCCCTTCTCACCTGGGGCCATGCTGAGTCAAGAGATGCAAAAGCAAGGCTAGAGAGGCTTCTCTTATTGTGTCAATCAGCAAGCAAATTCACATTGAAATTCTTCACGTAATATCCCCATCCAGGAAGGAAGGATAGTCCTTATCCTGGACTCTAAAAACACTCCTTTCTTCTCCTCCCCAGAGAAATCTCAGACTCAAATAGTAGGGGTGGGGCTCTTGAAAACCCACTCGAGATGCCCCGAGCAGCAAGGGCTGCTGTAGGAGGCTGGTGCAGGTAGCAGCCTCTGCAAGCAGGCCCAGCTGGGCGCCTAACAGGCTGGGATTCTCCAGCTGTTCTCTCCCAAACCCCAGGGCTTGCAGCAGATCCTCAAAGACTTCCTCAAACAATGAACTAGTCCCATCAAACAGGGAAGGTTTAAACACCTGAATGGAGTTCATTCGTCACTGCTTTTTCTCTGCCTTATAGACGGAGGTTCCAAGGAAGATAATATTTGGAAAAGTCAGCAACACAAATGAAGTCTGAAATCTACTACACGAGTCAACATGGTCCCCTTGACCAAGAAGTCACTCACCCCGAAAGTGTCTTCCTCTGGCTTGTGGGTCACAGTGATAGGAGGTGTGGGGCTCACTTCGTCGACTGAAAACCAAACACGAGAGGAGGAGGGCAGTTAGCTCACTAGCCAGGGAGGCTCAGCGCAGTCCCTGCCCAACTCCCAAGCCCCCGGAGACTTCCCGCTGGAAAACATCCCCAGGGAGCCGGGCCGGGCTGGGCTCTCACAGCCTGCGCCCCACGGGCTGGGCAGGGGTCCCCAGAGGCAGGTCCCTGAGGGCCCCCTGACCGGAGCTCCAGTCGGAACAGGCTCCCTAAGGATTCAAAAACGTCCACTCCCATCCCCTCTCCCCACCCCAGAGAAAATAACGTAACTTGGGCAACATGGGCCCCAAGCTATGGGGAGGAAAGGAGGAAGGTGGTTTGGGATCCTGGCCAGGGTCTGGATTAGGCAAATTTCACTGGTGACAGCAGCTGTTGCTGACACTCTGCTGCTCCCTGCCATAGGCATTCCTTCTCCTCTCCCATGCCCCTTCTCTTCTCCTCTCTACCTTCAGTGACAGCCAGGAAGCCTGTGGCCCCACAAACAACCCCGTCACACTGATTTCAGAACACGGTGGCAGCTCCAGTTAACACACAGAGCCACCTGACCAGGGAACACACCTTTACACAGCAGGGCCGGGAGAGAGAGCCAAGTGTCTGTCTGTTCCCAAGCTAGAATCACCTCCCAATTCAGAACCCTCTGAAGGGACATTACAAGTCCTCTAAGACCAAGGACGACTAAAGGAATCACAGGTGATTTTACATCAGCGCCAACAGCCAGGGGAGTGCCTAAGCAGTGCTGTCTGCCACCCTGGGCCAGACAGTGGGCAGAAACGGCAGCAACTACTGCTGCTATTCCCACCTCCATGGGGAGGAACAGAAAAAGGAGTAAACACAGGCTTTCCCACAGTCCAAAAACAAAATCCCAAATCCTTTTAGGACTGCCTAGCCCTAGCGCCAAATCACTTATACACTGAGCCCCAGTAATTCCATGTGAGGACACATGAGCCTATGGGGAGATCTTGTAAGTCACAGCTCCACACGAGGTGGGTCCTGGCCAAATTCTCAGGCTCTTGAAGCAGGTGAATAACACTAGAAGGTTTATAGGATCCCGATTCTCTGCAAGAACAACTAAGACAGTGAATAGAATTCTATAGGGCCAGGCACGGTGGCTCACACCTGTAATCCTAGCACTCTGGGAGGCCGAGGCAGGAGGATTGCTTGAGTTCAATCTGGAGTTCAAGACCAGCCTGAGCAACATCGAGATCCTGTCTCTATTTAAATTACAATTTTTTTAAAAAAAGGAAGAATTTTAGCAAGGCACATGAAACCCCACATCCATCCTGACATAGGACCCTTTTATCTAGGTAGAGACCAACAAAGTGGTCAGATCTTGGAAAACTCTGTAGGGCAAACTGAGCCATAGAGTCATTACCCAAGAAGCATGTCTACTCTCCAATTCCCTTTCCGGGTTCACTCAGAACCCTCAGCCGCCATGGGCTGTGGGTGATTATAGGGGAGAGGGCTATTTGGATTCAGTAGTTACCAAAAGTAGCAAATGAATCAGTTTCAAAGCAAAAGGTAAAGCAGACTTACCCAAGATAAAGGTATCCGTGCTCTCTGAAAAAGAAAAAAAAAAAAAATAAGAAGAAAGGACAAAGAGATAATTAACAAATGTAATAAAAACCAGAACAGACGCACTGTATGATCCTAATAGCTATGCTCTCTCCCATTCACGATGACCCCTTGTTCCCATAGCAACTGACAAACTAAAATCCTTGGCCTGTCACCCCTGTCTCCATGCTACACTATCTCTGCAGGGTGTGGTCCTCCAAATGGAGAAGGAGTAAGAGATAAAGATCCCGGTTTCAGGGGAGGTGGCCCACGGAACTAGAAACAAACTAGTTTCCGTATGAGATGGGGAATTAAACCCAGACCCACAGTCTCCTCCACAACGCCCACCCCCCGCCTTTAGGATGCAGAGTGCCAGGGGTGATGTGGCAGGTCAGGCTCCCCTGGTCCTTTCTTGAAAATGCCAGCTATGATCTCAAGATGAAACTCTTCGACTCCGTCTATGGAGGTGATTCTAGTAGGTCATTGAGAGGTTCTTGGGAATCCCCCTAGAATCTGCCCATCACCCAGATGGAAATGTGTTATTTGATCTTTGGCCTCTAGCAACAGCTCGCCCCATAGCGAAAGCTGATCCTTACTGGACATCGATTATGACCCAGGGGCTGTGCGAAATGTTTCATGTAACGTATCACTCGATCCTTACAGGCATCCTAGGACGTGGGTAGCGTTATCCACATCTTAACAGGTAAGGAAACAGGCTGATGCAGACTTGACTAAGTGGATGCCACTCATCTACGAAGGGATTAGAGCTGGGTTCAAATCCAAGTCTGGGCTCTTGGCCACCCTGCCAGAGATGCTCCAACTTCAGCACCCAACAGAAACATCCAGAAGGTGATCACTATCCTCTTCCAATAAAAGGAATGAAGCTTCCTTGCAGAAACGAATGATTTCAGGGCTGGGGCAGAGAAAGTCCAGGACATGCCTGGAGCAGCTTGTGGTACCAGAAAGTAAGAAAGGGCTCAAAGGTGAATGGGAGCCTGGACAGAGGCTACAGGAGCCAATGTCAACAGGGCAGCCAATGGCCAAATGTGGGACCATTTAAGCAACAAAATAATGACAGTCATGGACTGTTATGAACAGAACCGTGTCCCCCAAAATCCATATATTGAAGCTGTAATCCCCAGTATCTCAGAACGTGACTGTATTTGGAGAAACGGTTTTTAAAGAGGTACTTAAGTTGAAATGAGATCCTTAGGGTGGGCCCTAATCAAAGATGACTAGCATCCTCATAAGAGGAGGAAATTTGAACATAGACATGCGGAGGAAAGACCACATGAATACACAGGGAGAAGAATGCCATCTACAAGCCAAGGAGAGAGGACCCAGGAGAAACCAACCCTGCAGACACCTTGATCTCACACTTCCGGTCTCCAGAATTGGGAGAAAATGAATTTATGTTGTTTAAGCCACTCAATCTGTGGTACTTTGCTATGGCAGTCCTAGCAAACTAATAGATAAAGTCTTAGCCACAGAAGAAAATAAATACCTGTGAGGCTATTCCAATACAACTAAATAAATGAATAACTAAAGGGGGAAGAAGGGAAAGCTCTTCCTTATAGACTTCCAGTTAATAAATGGAGAAGGAACGTTGGAAATAGAATGGTCACCATTTGGCAAATACTACAGTAATAATTGTTTCAGGCAAGAATCATCAATGAGTGTTAAAATGAGAGTGTGGAAGACAGGTGTGAAACAAGCTATTTATGAAGTTTTAAAATATTATACTTATTACTTCCAGAGGGGGAAGTAGTCAGTTTGCAGCGGAGGAACCTGGCAGACACCAGCTTGACCAAGTGACAAAGCTAACACCCTCGGTGCTAACCACATCAACGCCATGCACCCCCAATATGACATACTGAAAGGACAGAGCCTCCCTTCCATGATGTTCTTGCCAAAAATGAATAATTAGGAAAAAAAGATCAGACAAATTAAAACCAAGGGACAGTCTACAAAATAACTAGTGAGTATTCTTCAAAAGCGCTGTGATCATAAAAGACAAAGACTGGGGAATTGTCCCAGATTTAAAGAGACTAAGGTGACAGTAACTCAGTATGATGTGTAATTCCGGGCTGGACCCTAGACGAGGAAAGGGCATCAGTGATCAAATCTCAGTCAAGTCTGTAGATTAGATAATAGCGTGGGACCCAAGTTAACATCCTGGTTTTGATCACTGGATTGTGCTTAGGTAAGATGTTCACATCTGGGGAAACCGAGTCAAGGGTAGTAGGAAGTTCTTTGTACCATTTTGTAACTTTTTTTTATTTTGGTAAATTCTAAACTCTTTCAGTATGAAAAGGTAAAAATCTTAACAAATTACAAAGAAACACAGATGACTGGTCCTCACTTCAGAGTTTCTGATCAGCAAGATGTAGGGTGGGCCCTGAGATTCTGCATCCCTCACAAGTTTCCAGGTGATGCTGATGCTGCTGGTCAACCACTGGACCACACTACACCTCCTCCTGCCCCAGGCCCACCCCACCTTGAGGAGGAGGAAGAACTCATTCATTCATTCACTCACCCATTCATTCATTGCAGGCCCTCACGATCATAGCTCTGATACGTATGAACCAGCAAATATTCCCTAGCTCGCTGTGGGAATGTGATGTTTTCTGTAAAGCAGCCCTTCAGAGGAAGGTTGGTTTACGGTTCACACACTGGCTGCTGGCTTGCTGTCTGTTGCATTGTTATGGAGACAGCAATAGTGCTATCTCCAATTCCTGAGCACGCCCGTCATGCGAGCACCCTCTTCTCAACTTCAGGTGACCAAATGCCTGCTCTGGGGGAGAAGAGAGGAGATGGGAACTCTAGCCTTGCTTCAGAGCCTGAGAAAAGAGAGATGCCAGATCAATTTGCGGTTCGTATTGATTTGCATGTTTCTCGTAAGTCTCTCATGTTTATCAGAGAATCTTCTTATGTTAGCCAAATGTTTTTGGATGAACCTTGAACCCTAGAATCTCCAAATCAGCCTATGGATGTTGAATGCCTTGCCGGAGCCTGGAAGCATTTATATATCCAGGAAGCACTTGAGCTTTGGAAGAGGAAGGCGTCCTGATTCCTGTCTAACCTGCGGGAGGGCCTCAAACCTCTGCACTGGAAGAGGATGATACCCAGGGATGTCTTCACCTCTGACCCCTCCAGCACCGGGAGAGGACCAGCCTGGCATGCCAAGGCACTGTCCAAACGGGAACAGGGGCCGTGCCATGCATGGAATGCACGAGTCACCTACAGTCCCCGACCACAACTCTTCAAGAGGGGACCCTCATGTGAGCTACTCTTCACCACAAACTTTCAGGCAGAAGCACTGGAAGGTTGCACCGATTGCCTGAAGTCACAGAGCTGACAAGTGACTGTGTGATCATTTGCACCCTGGCAATGTGGCTTCATAACCACCACCCTGGACTACCTTAAGACCATCTGCTAGGACTTACTAGCTTGGCCAGAGAATGACCACTGGTTCTAGAACTCTTGGATTCATCTTATCTCTGCACCCCAACAATCCTAACAACGTCCAACAGCTAGGGAGCCTTGTCTCTGCCCAGACACCCTGCTGAGCGTTCATTTAATCCTTATGGCAACTTAGGCAGCAGATACCGTTATCATTCCCATCTCACAGATGTAGAAACAGAGGCACGGAGCAGTGACCATCCTCCCCCTGGTCTGAGCGTGCACTAAGCCCCATGGCCCAGGCCACTGTGTGTGGGGGCGGGGGGCAGGGCCACAGGTGGGATTGCACCGAGGTCTGTCTGATTTCAGAGCCGTTGCTCTTCACCTGGGTGCTCCGCTGCCCGGCAGCAAGAGACAGGCACGCCACCAGCAGGATGTCTCCGTGCCCGCGCATCAGCCAGGGCCAGGTTTGGTTCAGAGGGTGTGACGTACCCCTGACTGCTCCCCCAGATAATTGACTCTCCTGAACATTTAGACATCTTGTCACTTGACATGACTGGCCCATCTTTTCCCTGTCACTGCCTTTTCATCATCCACTGATTCCTGTAACACAAAGTCTCATAAAACAAGCAAACCTTCACTCGGGGTGGCCCCGCGGGGTGGAGATGGGCCTGAGGAAATGACCTCAGGTGAGCTGCTTTCTCTTTCGGCTTCTCTGTGACTCGGTCCTCCCCCCCTCCCTCCCTCACTCCCTCCCTCCTCCTTGGGTCAGAGTCCCACCAAATGCTGCCGTAGCAGATTGCAAAGATGGAGTGTCGGAGTCGCCCGGGGGCTTGTTAAAACACAGCGCTGGACCCCACCCTGGAGTTTCTGACTCAGTAGATTGGAGCGGGGCTTGCGAATCCTGAGGTCTAATACATCCCCAGGTGATGCTAATGCTGCCGGTCCAGGGAGCACACGTTTGAGAGCCACCTAAGAGGCACCCAAAACTGCCCATGGTGGCGAGGGTAAGCTGAGGCTATTTGAAGGGGCTGCTGCACCTCTGGGGGCAGAGGAGGGATCTGCAGAGAACTGCTTCCTCCCGAGAGGAGGGAGACAAAGGAGATGCTGTGTCCACCACATCCTCCGCCTGCTGGGCTGTCCTACAGCTCTCTGGGGGAATAAGCCCAGAATGCTCCATCCTCCCCCTAGAGCATTCTAGGGCTCCCACTCCCTCTGGGCCTCAGGAGCTTCCCTTTGGAAAGAGCAGCATTGCTTCAGGTGCTCCACTCCTCACCCATCGAGGAGTGTAGACGCTCCTTAAAAACAGAATCCATTCTCTAATCAGCGGGTGACACTGATGGGACAAAGGGCCACTGCCACCCTTAACTGATGTTAACAAGGCCTGACTCTGGAGCACATACAGCAAAGCGTCTCTGCATCTAAACGCCACTGCTTCCTCAGCGTGGGCCGGGACTCTCCCGCCTGCCGAAACAGAGCCCGCGTGGCCCACGAGGGAGGGGTCCCAGGGCCTCTCGCCAGGCGTATGGGGATGATGCCGGAAACGTCAGACCACGTGGGGCCGCCAGGGCCTCAAACATCAGCACGTCCCCAACCCTCTCCAA